TTCAAATCCCTTTAACACACACTTCAAATCCCTCCAACACACACTTCAAATCCCTCTAACACACACTTCAAATCCCTCCAAAACACACTTCAAATCCCTCTAACGCACACTTCAAATCCCTCTAACACACACTTCAAATCCCTCCAAAACACACTTCAAATCCCTCTAACGCACACTTCAAACTGAGTTAAAGTTATAACAAAAAGAAAACGGCTCAACTTTTAATCTTGTAAAAGAATAAATGTAAGAATGAAATTAATCCTGGAGTCTGAGGAGCAGGGAGGTGTCGCGCTGATTTTAGTGAGATATGCGCACTCATAATAAAATAAATGTTCACATAAACTCGGAGTGGAAAGAATTCTTCCGGATGTGGTCTGAGAGAATAAACTGATTTTATAAAGAAATAAGCAGGGCTGCATTCCTTCTGGCAGAAACAAACCGCAGGAAATAATTTTTTGTTCCTGAATGCATCATTCTGACTGAACGTCGGTGTTGGGGGGGGGGGGGGGGGGGAATTTACCTGTAGTGGACTTTGTAGATGTTCCCAAAGCGCGCGCAGTCATCGCATGGTCAGTTTATGGATAAAGTCCTCAGCTGCCAGAAACAATTCGGATTTTGACTTGGTAGAAGAAAAGAAAAGAAAACGGAGGAGCTGTGGAGAAACGCGGACCCTCTCCTTCTTCCTGGGGGTGCGGGCTGTATAGTTTCCAGGTGGTGCGCTGCTACGGCCCCCCCTCCTCTCCTGTCGGATCCAGGAGCCTCTTCAGGGGCCACAGCGACTCTTTATTTCCATCCTTGAAGAAGAAAACTGAATAAATTGCAGTTTTTTTGTCGCGCTGCGCGCACAAACTTCTCCGTGGATCTCCTTGTCCCTCCGCCTCGGATGGACAAAGCTTAAAAAGGAGAGGAGGAGACGCGCTCCCCAGCCTGCTCCTCGCTGCGCCTCCTCATCCCGGAGGGACATGTTGGGCTTTTCTCTGCCCCCATGGCAGCAAATATTCCTCAGGACTTATTCTTGGAGTTCAAAATGTATGAAGATGCTGCAGCGCATCTCCGTCGATGCGCACGAGCGGGCGTGAGCGCTCCGTCCTCCTCTTCCTCCTTTTCCTCCTCTTCCTCCTCTTGTATTGTTGCTCCTGAAGTCCTCCGGTGCGCTCCTGCTCTCCTCTAGTCTCCTTCAAGAAGACTGCATCCGTTAGGTTCTGTTCATCAGCCGAACCCAGCTCCCCCCCCACCCCCACCCATTCACAGCTGGAAGGAGGGGGGTATTAAAACTTCTGACCCCCCCCCCCCCCTTCTCCCCTTATGCCCGGCGCGCGGGCCTCTCTGCGCCAATCACAGCGTGGCGCAGACCCGGAAGTCCTTCCCCGCTGGTTGTGCGCGTTGTCAGTTTGGAGAGCGTCTAAATGGGGGTGGGGGGGGGGGGAGGAGGGGGGTAAGGCTTGAAACAGCTGGAATCATAATGTCAGTCGTCAGCCAATGAGAAGCGAGGGGGTGACGGCATCCAGGAAGCGCTGCCCCGTGATTGGCTCAGAGTTTTACTGCTGGGAAGTTTGGAGGAGGAAACAGTTGCTGCACGTGGAAACAGAGTCCAGCTTCCATTGAATGTGATGTTATTGTCTGTGAAAGGTGCTATATGCATAAAGATAAAACATTACATTGAATGGATATTGTGATGTATAACCTCTGTTACAACAACAACAGACTGTCATCTTTTGTTAAACACATGAAACCAGTTATGGAAGAGTTGTGAGTCCGCCCTTCAAGAAGGTTCAGCTGCTGATGATGAAATGTGTTGATGAGCTGATCATCATCAGTGTGATCACCTGCATCCATCCAAACATCCATCCAAACATCCATCCATACTAACAGGAGTTCTGTTAGTTTTTTGCTCTGGAGCAGACAGATGTGTGCTAACACAATGCCAAGATGGATAGACAGCAGCAATGACCTTACAGAAGCAACTGTTGCTGCTCATCAGTCTGGGAAACTTGGAGTTCGAATCTAAACAATATGGAGTCCAAACAGTAAAAAAAACATTTCAGCCATTCTTCCCAGTAGTGAATGTCTCATAATTCACACAAACATTTGATCATAATGACCTGATGACATCTTAAGATTCCAGGAGTTTTAAATGTTGACGGTTCATCCTGAATGTGTGAGCAGCTGCAGAAATAAATCCAGAGTAACGCCTGGACAGTTGGTCTGGATCTCATTTTTAGTGACGATTTCTTGACGTCTGAAAGAAGAAACCTCATTTATCAGGTGTTAAAATGTTAGCGCTCAGCTAAATTAAGGCTTATCTGCTGAGAATCATCATAGTTGCTCAGGGAAGTGCTTCAATACATTTTTATATTGTTGACATTTTATAGATTAGGTGTTCAATGCATTTAGATTAAATATTTTCAACCAGTGTAGTATAGCTTCTTACACATTTCGTTGCGACTTCATCCTCGGGTGAACGTGACGGCTCGCCTCATGTCTGTGACGGTAAATTAGAATGAAGACTTTTAGATCTTTGTCCAGATGAGTCCAATGAAAATATATTTGGAGTTAGAGCTCATGGCAACAACCGAGCACGTCAGCACATTCAAAGCTTCCCAACCATGAGGCATGGAGGTGGAGGAATGGTGGTTTGGGCTCGTTCTGCAGCCACAGGACAGGCTTGGACCCAACTGTGTCATGACAGAGCAATGACCCTGAACACAGCAGCGCATCTACAAGTATAGATGTGTCGGCCATCTTTAATTAGTTTGACTCCCAAGGAGGTGCAGCTAGTAGAGGTTCTGAGAGTTTCAGTAAAACCTGACCATGAGATGATATTTTGCTAACAACAGGGTTGACTCCAACAGTAAATGCTAAAGTTTTAAGTAAAAAATGTCATGGAAAATATAACACTTATACACACACACACACACACACACATTTGTACAGAGTCAGGCAGTTACATTTTAAAAATTATTTAACTTTTTTTAAAGCAGGAAAACAGATTTTCATGAAAAACTTTTTTTTTTTATGGCAGCAGGTGATAAAAATGGGTTTACTAAAAACACCTTTTAAAATAATTTTATATTTTGGTAGGTTCCATGCATCCATCCATCCATCCATGCATCCATCCATCCAGCCATCCATACATCCATACATCTATCCATCCAACATCCATCCATCATCCACCAATCCATCATGCATCCATCCATCCATCCATCCATCCATACATCCATACATCTATCCATCCAACATCCATCCATCATCCACCAATCCATCATGCATCCATCCATCCATCCATACATACATACAT